AAAAACACATGTATAAGCACACACAAAATGCACCATGGAACAAACTCAAAGGAACAAAAATCAATCAATACAATGGAACGTTGCCATACCCGCTTTCCTGGTGGGAGTGCTCACTGTCAGCTCAGCAGTATACAATGGTGGAGGCGCCAGTGTGGGAGAGTTGGCAGCCACCGATCGAGTGACGCGTCCAAAAGATGGTTGCACACGCTGTTCAATCTGGATCTACAGATTTGTTTGATACACATGTTAAAGAAAAAAAAAAACAGTTAATAAGTCAACAAACTTTATTTTTTAGGGAGGCTGTTAACAGGTAAGGGATGTGATTGGCAAACAACCAGAAAGCAGGAACACCTCCAACACAACAAACACCACAGACGCACAAAAGTGGACAAACTTCACATTAAATAGTTGGCCCCATCAGTTTAGGTGCTATTGTTTTATAGCACGTAACATTTACTTTCCTGCATTCTGGTCCGCTTTTCTGCACCAGTTTGAACCTTTTCTGAACTATTCAATAATTACAATGGAGCCTTTATCTGGAGCCGTTTCAAATCAAGAAAACATGAATTACTTTTACAAATGTGTGGATTCTAATAGTCCCTGTGTTACCGCATTGTTTAGCCCTGCAGCTGTATGCAATTAGCCTATGACTAGTTCATGTGAAGTTGTATATGAACTTTATTTTTAACTTCAGCACTTGTAAGAATAGCAGATACTAAATGTAAAGAAATGCAGACAACTTAAGCTGCATAGAACATCTCAAAGAACACAACCTCTGTGTACATCACGAGTACGAGTGCTCACAACAGGTGAGCCTGTCATGTTGAAGGCTTTACATAAATGATGCTGCAAAGTTAATAGACTACAGATACTGACACAAATCCAAAACAACATGGGCATAAGAAGGTTCATAATTAACATGGGACATTGAACCTCAATCTTTGCATCTAAATAGGAGCGAAACATGAAAGCCTCTCTCTCTCTGTGTGGTTACCTGGAAATCATAAAGATACTACTTGCAACAGTAACACGAGAAGAAGAGGATTCTTCAAGATGAATCGCATCCTTGAGATATATATATAGACATAAATTCATACCTCTGGAGATGCAGATGTTTCCTCACTATTCTCTGAGTCAGCTGTTGAAGCTTCTGTCACCCTAGAGCAGAGAATAAACCAATGTGAATATAAAACAGATCAATACATTGTACATTTAGCTAACATTAAAACATCAACAAATTCATCAAAATGTTACTTACGCCTCTCTGTCCACCTCATCCATGCTAGATTCCTCTACAAACAGAAAAAGAAGCCCCATGTAGTAGAAGACGGCCATAATCAGAGTGCGGAAAACTTGCGGAAAATATATTTTTAAGCTATTGGTCAACTTCGAATGGAAACATTTCTCACCATCAACGTTGCTGCTGCATGTAGAGTTCTCCAAGTGAGCCGCCGCCTTCTTGAGCATGGAACGGCGTGAGGCGCGGCGAACAGACTCCTGAGTCATACTGTGTCGCAGACCAGCTAGAGAGTGACGTAGCTTTAGGGAGCACCGTACAGAGCTCCGGCGCGAGCTTCGAGCCGCTCCAGCGATTGTGATCTTTGCAGCAGCTCGGCCAGGAGAAGGCTCCTGCCCTTTAGCTTTCTCAGCAGAGAGGCGATCTGCCACGGAGATTCCAACAGCGAGCTCTGGTAGGGGAATTTCAGGAGGAGACGGGACAGTGCTACATATGTCTTCCTGCTCTACTCCTACAGTGTATGACGTGTTTATGTCATCCGTCTCAACCTCCTCTACCAGCTCAGGCTTCTTGTTCTCCGTCTCCCCGGTTTTACAGCTGACAGGAGATACCTGGCCCACATCCTCTGCCACCTCAGACTGTGCTTGCTTGTTTTTGCGGGTGGTGCGTTTCGGCTGTGTGGTTTCAGAAGTGGAGGCTTCAGGAATGGCCTGTTCTTCGGTAATGAAGTTCAGTGATTTGACAGAGGAGCGACGAAGGTTACTGCGCTTCCCCTTTGAAAACCTAGAGGGAAAAAAATAACAAGGGTTTAAAAAGAAGCAAGAATGTTTTAAACTGTTAAGGAAAGGAGAGCTGTTGGTTCAGACATCGCTTAAAACAGAATTGAAAGCAAAAAAAAAAAAAAACCTTCGCTTGGTTGGATTATCTTCCTGACGCCCCAAAGATACACGCTTCCTGCGACTGTTCTTCTTCTGTGATGGTGTTTTTGGCATTAATTCCGGTTCAGCATTAAAATCTCTGAAGTTAAAAAAAAAAAAAGAAGGAATTTCTTCATCAGCAAAATGATATTCACACATTTCAAGAAAAGAGCAGGAAACAGCACATTTGTTTATTTAAACGTTGTTGTTTTTTGTACTTTATTACTTTAATTTAAGCTCACCTTGAAAACATCCGGTTGGCTTCTTGTTGGATCTCCTTAAGCCACACCATGTCAATATTTTCAATGTCACTGATGAATTCCTTGGTTTTGCCATCGAACATTAGCATGAGGGATCGCACAGATGACTGCACGGAGTTCATGTTGACGGCCTGAGGGAGGAAAACATATACTTGTGAAAATAAATGAAAAACATTACTTTAGAGCAGGGGTGGGCCACATGCGGCCCCCCCATCAACCCTGAACGTGGCCCTCAGCTCAATGTCAACATATCAATTAATTGGAAACATGAAGAAAACATGACAAAATCTGCCATGAAATAGTGAAAACCAGAAATATGTCCATAATAACATTTGATCACTGGTATATGTTGAGTTAAATTTGAGACATTATTGACTGTAATCGTTTTTGCATCCTACAATTTGGCCCCCTGGTAGTGAGAATTAAATGAAAGTGGCTCCTTGCTGTGAACAAAGTTGCCCATCCCTGCTTTAGAGGCTAAACTACTTTTTTTTATACGTCTGGTTTATTTCTTTCAGTGTATTTGTGCACACAATAATCAAACCCCTTAGTAATGCAATATAGTTGTATCCTGCTTTTCTGTGTAAATGCATCAATACAAACCTTGACAAATGAGGGAAAATGTTTATAGAATGGCAAACTGTGAGGCTCTCTTTAATTCTGGGTTATAAACTGAGACAGAGACCGGAAGTTAGTCCCTCTCCTGTAAAGTAGACGACACTGTTACACATAATCTCACATTGTCTTTTCTCTTCATTGACCTTGACATGCTGCATAAATGCGAATATTATCAATACTTGTAAATTGACTGTCTTTTAACATCTCTCCGGAAAAAAAAAAAGCTACCATCATAATTGTAAGTAAATAACCAAGAGTTCATTTTAAAAAAAGGTAATTCTGGGTGCATGTATTTAATATAGTAAAGAACGTGTTTCTATGTTACCCTATTTGACGATGTAATGTTTAAAGGACGGATTAATACGGACATTATAGGAGCTTTTTGTCAACAATCTGGTTGTCAATAACATCAAATTATCTTTCCACCACCAGTCAGTGTAGCGTAATAAAGATATACGTTACCTGTGTTGTCAGAGTTTCTGAATACAAAATCCGATGCTCGACGCTCCGCTTATATTCAAAAGCTAAATTAATCGCATACTGACGTGGAAAATGTTGTTAAAATGAAGGACTTTCTTCGCTCTCCGTCGAAGCTCCTGTGTTTAAAAATCGTCCCCGGACAGAAACCGCAAAACGTCCCCCCGCTGAAACCGTTAGGCTTTTCAAAACTTCAACGGCCAATCCCAACGCGTTAGCGCCGTGACGTCGAGGAAAAGCTGTTCGATGTGTGGTTCGTTGGTGTGCGGAAGGGGGGCGGGGCCAACCGTTCGGTTCAGATTTGCAAGCAGATGATGCGGCGTTTGTTTAAACACGTCAACACGTGAAATAATAAATGGAGCGAACCCAAAGGAAGTTGCAGGGCGGAGTTAACAGCGCTTGCTCAGGTTTGAAATTATCCAATTGAGGTGTGACCGAGTGCTGCTCTCCGCCCACACACTGCCATAACATACAGAAAGGGAGAAATGTATTTTAAGAACTCATTAGATTTTGATTTTGATTTTTTTATTGAAGGGTTTTTTTAAATTAAAACAGAAACAGGCAATGGGAAAAAAAAAAACATAAACATAAATTAGGCAATATGTTCCCAAGCCTGCCTGCAAGTTCGCAGTTTCTACATACATATATCCACACAAACCTATACATACAGACATATCAATCAATAATAATTGATTAATAAAAAAATAAAAAATTAAAAAACAACAACAAAAATGAAGAATACAATTCATGCATCCATGTTATCCTAGAATATTTTTATGTTGTCAGAAATAGACTAGTCTCTATTAGAGACTAGACTAGAGTCTATTTAAGAACTCACTAGAGGACACACAATGGGCAGCCAGAGGGGAACAAACGTTTTATGTTATGTTAGTGAAGATAAATATTGGGTCCCTTACTCTTTTTTTGTCAAGCCTCTCCTGTAAAGTGATGGACTCGCAGTTCTCTAAGGACACAGCTACAGGATATTGTTAACTATTAGTCACACTACATTGTTCAATAAAACATAATTCTCATTAAATTAATTCAAATCAATGGTTAAAACATACATTTCCATTTAAATGAGGTTAAACAAATCCAATATTTGATTAAAAATTGTCTTTTTTTCTGTATTTAGTGCTATTATATTTGTCTGTGATCTTTTATGCCTTGTCTGTAAAGCACTTTGGTCAGCTGAGGCTGTATTATACTTGCTTTACAGATAAACTTGACTTGACATAACAAAGGATGTGAATGTTCAACTCACCAAGGTATGGTGAACACTTTTAACTACGGTATAGTTTACCCGTAATCACAAGTTCACAAGAGATTGAAACAAAAGAAAAATCAAGCTTTACACCTATATCAGTTTTCTTCTTTTGTAACAAGGAAAAATCAACAGGAGGCTCCACATGTTGTATGTAAAACATCATGTGGTCCTTAATATTGAGTCCAGCCAGAGGCAGTTACAAAATAAGTATGACAAACACATGATCTTTTTGTATTTTCTTTAATCAAATCAAGAAAAACAGTCCACTTTCATTTAATGCTTATATGTTGTCCGTGGTGAATGGCAACGTACAAATTAACAAGAGCTGTTGTATAAAATAACTTGAGGACATATTCTTATTCTTGGTACATGTGATCGTCAGGATGGTCACAGATTCTGTTTCAGAAAGGCCAACAGGGAGACGGTGAAGCTGTCTTGCAAACATATCCAGGCTCTCGAGGAAAAGTTACAGGCTGACCTGAAAAATAAGAAAATCAAACCATTTTATTAGGAAAATGAGATATGAAATCAAGGAAGAAAGTGAGGATAATGACAACTTAAAAAATCATGGTTCAAACATGAGGCATACAAACATATACCATTAATTCTAAAATATAGAAAGAAAAAATAAGACTTGTTGAATTACAGTAGCAGGAAGTCATTTTCAGTCTTTTATCTCAATGAATATAGCTTATTGGATTGGTTTGTCTATGAAATCACATTGTCTTATTGTGGCCATTTCAGTGCTGTTTTCTGAAATGATCATTTTATATTAATTGTTTGCATATCTTGACTCTGCCTGTTAACATAGAAGATTGTGTTCTTCTTTATTATAAATAAATTATATATTTATTTGTAGCAAAAATAAACCTTGTTCTCAGAGAAAATAAAATGCGATGCTAAACTGCATTGTGTGATACCTCGGATGAGAGGGATTTTAGTTCCTGATCCCTTCAAGACCACATGTAGATCATAGGATGTAGCATTGCTGGCCTGTTCCCTCAGTATGATGCAGATTTCATCTTTTCTCAGCAGCCAGTCCATCTGACAGCCCAAGTAGTCTACTCCACGGACGTAGAGCTCAGAAATGTCCTTGGGGAGAAGTGGAGAAAAAGCCAGGCACTCCCTCTGAACTCTACAAAAAAAAACACAGTTTTCAAATCAACATCTGTATCACTGTGAACATGCTGTGTTCATTTAGAGTTGTTTTTCATTCCTCCAACCTGAAGCCAGTGTAACCAAACAGCACAGCTTGCAAGAATCCTCCCATACCAGTGAGAAAGTTAACAGCACCTGATCCATCTGATGATTCACTCCATACCTAAGGAGGAGAGGTAACCACACTAACCATAGGTATGCAGTTAAGAGGCATGTACAAGTGTTGTGTGTTCATGAGTCAGAAGGATACCTGGAATGGTCCCTGGATGTTGCTGAAGCACTTCTCTAGCAAAACATGAGCTTTCTCTGCCTCCCCCAGCTCCAGCCAGCCAATTGCAAACATACCCTTTTAATTGAAAGTAAAAACATTGATTCACACATTAGGAAAAATGAACAACATGATATTAAAGTTGATGTAAGGAGACACTCTAAGAAAAGTACTTATGTACTCCAAGTTTTAAAGAATAAATATGTATTCGACAGTATGGTTGTAAAATGAACACAGAATCCTACCAGAGACATAAACATTACAGTTAGTAGGAATGATTAAATACTATACAATAAATTGCTGATATGCACCATGTAATGAACATTTCTATTTTAGGGACATTTTGCAGTTTAACTTATCTACTGTCAATCTGCATTTTTGGCCACATGGGGGCAGTACAACAATCTATAAATACAGTGTTGATAGTATTCATTTAACACACTTATAATTTTGGGTTAATAAACTGTTTGGTTTTGTCATGTTATCATGTCTATGTAATCACATAGCAACAGAAGCCTTCAAGGTGATAATTGTGTGTTCAGTGTCAACCCTTATTATACTCTGTTGTTGGTCCATAACAACTTTTGACAAAGGTTCAGATACAGTGGTCGTGTCTTACCCATGTCATGGCCGGACCATTAGGGTCTGTCACTGGCTCATACGCTTCAAGGTCATTTTTCCTGACCTCTAGGGACATTGGCAATCCAAGAGGATAGCCCAACATCACTGCATCTGCCTGTTTCACTGGATGCCCTAAGAGAGGACATGTTGACGTCATGTTATAAACTCTAGATTTGAACTTATTCAGGTCATTTTCAGAAGGGTACAAACAATGAACCTTTAATGTAGCCGTCATACTCAGGATGGTACTGGGATTCTTCATTAAAAGGTATTTTGAGGTTTTCTGCCACTTCTTGCCACTCCTTTGGTGCAGGATGTTGGAGGAGGGCAGCCAGCTCGACAGCAAACTGTAAACTGACACAGGAAAAAGTATTTTTATTATTTGTATTCACAAGTCAACATTTTAAGGATATGAAAATACTAGTACCTGAATTTGGCCACTGTGTTGGTGTAAACAGAGTCGTTGACATTGTAATAGTACTCATCAGGAGGCATGACACCTACATGGTACATTGGAGAAATGTGTCATAATATTGTCTTAAAAATAAACATTATAATTATTACGTGCATATGATATCGATACGCAAACTGGGACTTATTGCTGCTAAATGTTTTATTATAGAAAAAATGTATAAACAAAATTAAAAGGTATATATAAAGATAATACAAATATTCAAAAAACTATTACATTCAGATACTCTCATAACATTAAGAGCCAGGTCCAACTTCATTGTCGCGTGTCAGCTCAGTGGTGGCAATTTAGTCAAATGTTTTTATTGTTAATATAGGGAGTTACCTTGATAATCATGTAGAACTCTAATCAATATTGTGTTATTATTACTGTTTGTCTTATTAAGATCTTACCCAAGAGATGGTATTTTTGGTCCTCAGGTTTATATGTGACTCTGGAAACCCAATAATCAGCCACACCAAATACCACCTCCCTGCCCCTGCCCTCTGTGAACATGGATATGTCCTGAAACAAAGCTCAGTTAATAGCCTATCATAACCTCATGAGAAACAATTTGACAGTGAGAGGGGATAAATGACGTACCCCAGTGAGGTAGAGATAGTGTTGGAAGGCCAGGGTCACGTCCCCATTGATGTGAATCTCCTGTTGCCCATAGATGTCCTCCGGACACACCTCCCTCCCTGACACAGCACTCTCCCATGGGAACTTAAGTCCCTGTAAAGATGAAATCTTTAGTTTAGACAATTCATCAAAAAAAAACCTAACACTTCAGTTATCTGCAACTCTGTTTCAGTTGAGCTGGTTTGCTAATAGCAACGACTGCTGCTAGTGTTAGAGCAGTTTAAATTCAAATACTTTTTACTTCCAGCCATCTGTCAGGTCAAAATATATTATTGAACAAGCTTTTTTTTTTGCTAGCTGTGCTAATCAAACATTCTAGGTTGAAAGGCCTACAGTTGATGTTTTAAGTACTTAACTTTTATTGTAGGCTTTGACTAATGTGTTAAAAAGTATAACTAATGTGCAATTTGTTTTCTTGCCAGGATTAGTAAGAAGAAACCTATTGTCATGTCTGAATGCTAAATATTTGTGTTAAGATAATAAACCTCCCTTATCATAAGAATTTAAAGTAGGAGTTAAGGAGTGACCCTAACTAAATCCAAAAGTAACAAAAGGCACTTACGAGGATAAAGCTTGAGCTAGCATCTTGTACCAAATGTTTTTCATCTGTACTTAAAGAGTACAAATCTCCACTTAAAACCCACAAATAGTCTACATGTAATATTTCTGTTTGTGTTTTTTACTCTGAAAAGAGCTATAGGCTGCCAGATTCCCCACGCTTCAAGTTTCACTCTACTTATGCTGACATTTTCTCAATTAGTTTCGTTATAAATTCTGTAATTTACTTATGGTCCAACTCTTGTTTCTGGTTTCACATGTTTTTGTCATTTCTATCATTGAGTGTGATGTGTTTTATCCTGCCGTTTTAACAGCTGTTTTATTTAAAAGAAATATATTTTCTCTTCAGCCTTCCAAGGAAATGTGTTTGGCTCAATGTGTAGTTGTGCCTCTACTTGATTGATGAGTAATGTTAGTAACACCTGGATTACCCACTGATAATAATACCTTATAGCCCTGCCTTTGGGCGTTGTCTTTTGCACCATCTATTGTCCCCACCCTATACTCCAGCACAGCTCGCGCCAGCTTTGGATAGAAAAGGGCTATGCCAGGATACATCCAAATGTCCTACAACAGGAAAGTAGGGTCATTGTGTGATACTTAATTCAACCAAGCAAGCTGTCATCTGGAATAGCTTTACCTGGTCCCAGAAGACATGGCCCCAGTAGTCCTGACCATCCCCACCATTAGACAGTCCACCTGGACTTACCCCACCAAAGGAACTAGAGGTGTCATGTATGGAGGGGAAGGCGCTGAGGAGGTAGAACAAGCAGCCAATTAGAGCCTTGCAGAGGCTCTCTGAACCAACCACCTCCACCTGGCTCTGCAGCCACAGTTCCTTCCAGGCCTTCTCGTGGGAAGGACGAAGGTTACCAGTCGACATCAGATTCAGACCCTCGTCAAAACAGGCCTCAGCTGTGTCTAAACTGTTGGCCACGATCAGGATAAAGCCCCAGCGGGCCTGACTCTGCTCTGGAAGCAGTGTCAGAGAGGAGGGTACCGGTGTCCAGATCAGGTGCACTTCAGGACAGGAACCTCCTGGGATCTCAGCACTGGTTGTCTTTCCCTGGATGTGGCTGAGGGCGAGAGGGATTTCTGCTGTCAATGACGTCAAAAACGCGCATTTCACACTTGTTTTTGTTCATCTTACCTTCCGCCTTTGTAATCAGGTCCAGATTGAAAAACAATGTCTTTGCTCTGAGGTGTGTACGAACTGACCAGATTAACAGTGATTGGCTCCTCTGACGTCACCTGACGCACCAGCAGGACCTCCATCACCATCAGGTTGGAGTAGTATCGGTGTGAATACAAAGACTGTGACACAGTTACGCTTGCTGAGCTCATTGTGTGAGTAAAAACGCCTGGTGAGAAGGTGAAGACATTAGCAGCTTGGAATAAGATCAGCAATAACACAATTTCAGTCAATGGGACAATAATGGTCCCTTAGATTACCTGTGTGTGTGTCCAGGCTGTAGGTGTGCTGGGCTGGTTCCTTTATATCAACTCTCACAGCTAAAGGACAGGGGACATCAGCTCGGTGACAGCGGCCAGCCTCCCCATTGTACACACCACCCATGTGCATGATGTTGTTGAACACCCTCCATCCCAGCAGCCCATTTGCCAGTGGAGGGAGGAAGCGGAGGTCACTGGGTAAGGTGTCCGTGGAGAAGATGTAAGGGTCTGATTCACCAGACATGGCGATCTTTACTCGGAAAGCTTTAACTGAAGCAAAAAGTCCTGTATGGAAAATGCAGTCAGAGTTTGTTGAGACGCTCTTCATCAATAAAAGTTTTTTTCACTTACTGTGGCAATGGTTTTTTATTGCAATTACCTCAGATCTCTGTCTGCACTATTGCACTTCCTCAATCAGATTAGAACGATGGTAAACTATCTCCATGCATGACTAAACGGCATCTTCTGATTTCTGGTAAACTTTTACAGTAGAATCCCTCACTCAGTTTTCACAGTGCCCTGACATGAAAGGCTATTTGTAGATTGTGTACTTGGACACTTTTGTGTCACAAGACTTCTCCATATGGCAACTTAGAAACACATGAGCAAATATTTAAAACAAGAGAGGCTAACTGAACAATCTAAAACAGAAGAAAGTTAATTTGCAGATGGACATTTAGATTTTTAATTTTTAATTATTAAATGCCTGAAGTAAATTTATCATAATGTTAAAGAAAACAAACAACCTCAGAGTTCAAGCTAAGTCACTTCTAAACATACAGCCTGTATAAACATCAAGCAATCCCTTTTCACAATGGACTACAGTGGGAATGTTTCAGCCTCACTTGATCAGGAAGAAGCATCTGTTTCTGCAGCAACAAAGAGGAATCCTGGAAACAAGAAAAGTGGAGGTTAAAGTTCCCAAAGGTACTGTTCTTGACAATTGAACCTAATGAAAAAACAGTCCACCTTCTAGGGATTGTTTTGCAGGACTCAGAAGTTGTTGATAAGTGCAAGTTCAATAGTATCCCGTAGTAGCAGGAGGAGGCCATTCAGCTATGTGTGCTGCTAATCACAAAACCCGGACCTGGGTCTGTGATTGCTGGAAAACATGGCACGGATTTGATGTGGAGAACAAGGAATGGCTGCTATTGAGTGTTCCTGGTCATTTCCCTCATTTAGGAACCCTCCTGTTCATAGACTACAAAAAAGTAGTAAACCAGCATTCATGATAGGAGCTGGTCAACATGTAAATATCAGAGAGAGTTGAATAAGTTCATCTTTTCGTGTCTCATTTAGCATAGTACACACTGGATCACCAAACGTGAAAGGTAATGATATAGTGCCCTGAACTTGTAATTCCAAGTGGAAACTCAATAACAAACACACCCAATGTCAAATCAATAGCAATATGGCAAACTTCCTATAGGCCTACTGTTTAATAGTTGAAAACAATAGAAGTAGTTAGTCGACTAAACAGAATGGAAAATAGGACTTGGGTGAATGCAAGCTTCTGTTGTCAAATGGAAATGAATGGTCTTTAAAAAAATGTTGCTTCATGTTGAAATAACCTTTTCACTCTATATTTAATTCCACTTGCTGCTCACTCAAATTACAGTAAAGAGCACTTTGCTAAATGTCTTACTTTTTAACTCAAATGGTAAACCTGGACCACAGTACAGAAAAAATACTGTATTTTCAATTTTGGGTATGAAGCATTGGATGTGCATTTAGCAGTCCATCTTTGAAACATTGTGGTTTCATTGTAGATAACATCCAGCTTAATCTAATATAGTGACGCCACCTGTAAGTAAAGACAAATTCTCCTAGCACATGTTTTTGTTTATTACCAAGTATACATGAATTCGTTTTTTGTTACAGTTTGACGGGTTGTCTAAATACAGGCTGCAACATCTGCCACTTTATGCATACATATTTATTATTAAAACACCAGGACTGTGTAGCTGAGGCTGTAAAAATACTCTGCAGGTCACAGTGACAGTGTTTACATTCTCATCCTATCTTCTCCAAGAAGCATTACGTAGCTCCCTCCATGCAAGATCATGTCATCTCTACTCTGCGGATCAGTTCATCACCACCTTTGGGTTGGGGTAAAGACTTTGAAGATGTATTTGATGTAGTATAATTATTACTGTTGTTGGGGTCTGAGGCAGGAATGATCGTGTCTTTATGGCAACTATGTGTGGAAGTTATTAATGCAGCCTAACATTGACCCCAAATAGTTATAATTCAACACACAACACTAAAGCAGCAGGCCAAGAGTTATCAGTGTCCGCCTTTGTTGTGTGTCAATTCTAATAAGTCTCCTAATTTTCTATTTATGCATGCATTCATAAAATGTTAATGTTCTATTTGTATGGAATAAAAGCAAGTTAATAAAGCAATGTGATCACCAGTTATTATTTGGCTCATTAACAGGCTGTGTTGCTTTGCTAGTTGAATGTTGGAAAGATAAGAGCTTTTAATACAATAGGCAAGGAGGATTTAATGAAGGGTATTATGGGAAATGTAGGATTCAATACATGTGAAAATATGTCCTCCTCTATTTTCCCAATTTTATGGCAGTAATTGACCTTTTAGTTGCATGGTCACAGTTTTACACAACCCTCATAAGGACACGATCTTAAGAATAAAATAAATCAGTTGATTGAGGTCTTATTGAGCATTTCACAAACCATGTTTCCAATAAATCAAAGCATAATGTTATACACAACCTGAAGCCTTCTTGCAAGGTCTTCGGATAACATGAGCTGAATCTGGGGTTCCTTAGTTGTACATTAAAGCAGGGCTATTTGTAATTTATTTTAAGTCAACCAATTGTTCAAAATGTATAAAAAAGTAATGCCCATGATACTTTCTTTTTTTTCAGCAAGTTATATGAACTGCAGCAACAAATTTGGTACACCACTTGGTGGCGCTGAGGAGCTGTTTGTGCAGCATCTGGCATCATGCCGGAGGTCAGAGCCACAAACCCTGGGAAAAGCAGTGCTTTGTCCATATAAGGCTGCAATCCATCCGCTTCCCTCTTCCTCCCCAGCTCCCTTCCCCTGTCTTTCTCAGACCTGAGGGATATTTACAGAGAGAGCCTTGGCCAGCCTGCCCTTCCTTATTAGGAGCTCAGCCTGTTGTCAGTACTTCTCCCCTGCTGTACAGTGGTCCATCTCTTGCTCTCTGAGATGAGACAAACAGATGGATGTCTGCTGTTCACTACATGTTAAAGCTAAGAAGACAACAGGACTCTGACAGCATTACACAGACATCCACTGAGTAGAGGCAATGACACTGACGATGTACGGCCCGCCTGGGAGCAGCACCAGCTTAATGCAACAGTCGAAACATACTGGAAATACATCTGTGTTGTATTGCTTCTCCTATTTCGCTTGCTGTGTGTGAGCGTAGTAATGCTGCAGCTGTTCTTCTCTTTTTTTTCCCCAACCCGAGTGATTAGGACATCTGGCTACCAGAAAAGGATGATACAAGTTTAGTGAAGCTAGAGCAGCAAAAGGCAAACAAACTCATGACTGCACATGAAATAAAAGACAGGAAATAAGTTTCAGTGTTGTGGATGGGTACAACGTTTGTAAGCAGCTTATATAATAGTGATATTTATCTCAAATTAAACCGATGTCTCTACATAAAAACCAGGCAGTGGCTATAAACAATTTTTTTTATTAGGGTGCAGACATCCATTCAATATATTAGAAAACCAACATGTGAAGAAAGGCTACATGGGACTGACATCAGAAAGGGTATTATTCAAGCCTAATATTTATACACATTTATTATACATAACCATGCTCGCTTGCACGAGAGGAATTGACGATAACAAACTATGAAAATAATATCTTCATAAATGGTAATAATTAAACCCCTCCATAGCATGAAAAGCCTTCGACAGAACAGCAATTTCCATAATTGTGCAATGATCTTTGACCTTAAGCTATGGGTTACTTCTCCCTCCACTACACCTCAGTGAGAAATGAGTTTGTCTGGAGGACGGAAAAAGCCTCACAGGTCTTTTATTGCTTCGTAAGGAGTAAAGTGCTGTGGTCAACTGACCGGATTCTGCGGTCATGTTCGTTTTTTTTTTTCGTTTTTTTTTTTAAAAGAGCATGGAGTGTGTCTGTTGTCACAAAACTATAAGTATGAGGGGAGGTGCATAGGTGGAGAGGTAGGTGGGTTCAAACACTTGCATGTGGAAACAAAACAACCCAACAGCTTCATGGACTTCCCCCTGTCGTCAGGACGTTGTTGAATGTAAAGACAGAGCCTGAAATGGCTTTTTTTTTATTTTTATTTAAAGAAGATCTTCACCAAAAAACCTGCTTGACGACGTTACATTTGAACTGTGAGGGGGTTTAAATTGGGTTTTAAATTTGTGAAGAATGTGACGTGAGTGTGTTCACTTAAAATAAATACTATATATGGTGGGATCTTTAAGGCCCAAGCTGCCTTGTGCGTTCGTGGAATGTGGCATCGAGGAAGTGTGTGATGCACGCATGGGAATGTGTGTGCTTGTTAGTGTTTCCCTGATGCAAAGAACATAGATGTTGTGTGTGCAAGTGTGTGTGTTGCACCAGCTGTGGGCATTCTGGCTGTTGTCAAGTCTCATGGTGCTGCTTGTTTGAGCCTCAGACCTTTACGCCATCCTGTGACAAAACGGGCATTAAGGCACGCAGAAAAAAAAAGCCTCTCCAGCTGTTCGCAGGGAGGCGTCACAATCCAAGTCAAGCTGTGGTGTTCATGTACATGTAGGACATTCTCTCCCCCTCTCTCAGTCTTTGGCACTCGGAGGAATGTGTGGAAGGATGGACGGATAGATGCATTGAGGGAGGGGGGGGCGTTCCCTGATCTTGGTGTCTCTCACTCCCTCAGTCTATTTGGAGAGTTTGCTGATGACACGGATCAGTGCTCCATTTTCATCTTTAAGACGCTGGTTGTCTGCTCTCAGGTCGACCAGAACCTGGTGGGGGGGGGGGAGAAAAAATAAACTTTCCTTAACAAAACAATTACAATTATTGATATGGTTGTATTGCTTGTATTAACATTAACATTATGGGTGTTGATATTAAATATGATCTGCAGCTAAATCAGCAGACCAGGTGCACCTCATTCAGGTTCAGGTTACTTTATTTGTACCCGTAGATAGGTTTGTTTGCAGCCAGCAAGATCGACCTCCATCATGGCACACAGATTACAAGACAAATGCAACAATGAACAACACACAAGAGAGAAGGAGAGCTAAACCAACTCAGACATGTAACTACAAAAGATAGTGATAGAAGCACTCAAGGCTCCACCAATCAGGGCATAGGTGAGAGAGAAATCTCCACCGATAAGACCAATTAAAAACACAAGTAAATAATCTCTCCAGGTAAGGTACAAATACATTTTGGCCATAAATAAATAAATAAATAAATAAATAAGGTGTTTGTGCAAACGTGGCTACAGCTTGTTCCCTGCAGTGATAGCAGCAGGAACAAAGCTGTTTTTGTACCGCTTTGTTCTGCGCCTTGTGACTAAAAACCTGAGGAGGGGAGGAGCTGAAAAGCACTGTGCAGAGGGTGGGAATCATCATTTCAAATCCACTGCAACTGTCTTGTATACAGGGATGCCGGGAAGGGCTGTGACTCACCAATCAGACGCCTGGACCATTTTAAGGTTGATTTAAGGAGCTTTTCTCTTCTAAAAGACATTTGACCGAATAACATATATAATTGTATTATTTCATATTATATATATTATTTCCCAGAAAATGACTCATGCTTCCCAAACTAATCATACGTCAGAAAAAGAAGTCCCATCGTCTGAAAACAACGTGTTGGGTGATACAACTCGACAGCACAACTCCACGCCAACACTGGCCTGCACAAAGCTAATGCCGAGCTAAAAAAGCAGAAGCATGCAAAGTCTCTGTGGCCGTGACGAGATTATTTCCGAACGTCTCCTCACCTTCAGCTGCTCTTCCAGCTCTGCCATTCGCCGCTCCAACATCTTCCGGTCCTGATGCCAGGGAAACGCATGTGGGTGAAGAGGGGGTGGGGGGGTGAAGAGGCAGA